GGAATTGTGACAATTCAAGATGAGATTTGGGTGGGGACACAGCCAAACCATATCACTATCTTGGGGTTACCTCTGCTGGGTTTAACCATTAAAAACTTAAAAGATATAAATAAAACATGGTATGGGAGCATTTTTAATGCAATCCCAAAGAAAAACCACACCCCCTGAGGGTAAGACTCACACCATTAAACTAGGTAAAGTTAATAAGATAGCAAATGCCTTCTGCTTTAAAAGCAGAGGAATGTAATCCCAGCTACTCAGGAGGCTGAGGCAAGAGAATTGCCTGAACCCAGGAGGCGGAGGTTGCGGTGAGCCGAGATCGCGCCATTGCACTCCAGCCTGGGTAACAAGAGCGAAACTCCGTCTCAAAAAAAAAAAAAAAAAAAAAAGCAGAGGAAAAGAACCATACTTGGGAAACCTTAAATATTGCAAAAATGTGCTCATAATTGCTAAGAGTACAGCGATCTGGAGACTAAGAAGGAACAAGGGTGACACCAAACATTGGGAGAGACTATAGAAAAATTTTAACAATCTAGCCAGACCTCCTAGGTGGAATTCCCAATGGGAATAGCTATCCCTGAGCAGAAATGCCAACTCTTGCCAACCTTATTATCAGGTAATAAATAACATATGGTCCTTGATATGGTTTGGCTGCGTCCCCACAGAAATCTCAACTTGAATTGTACCGCCCCGAATTCCTACATGTTGTGGGAGGGACCCAGGGGGAGGTACCTGAATTATGGGGGCCAGTCTTTCCCATGCTATTCCCGTGATAAAGTTTCTTGAAATCTTATGGGTTTATCAGGGGTTTCTGGTTTTGTTTCTTCCTCAATTTCTTTTTCTGCTGCCATGTAAGAAGTGCCTTTTGCCTCCCACTATGATTTTGAGACTTCCTCAGCCATGTGGAAGTGTGAGTCTGATTAAACCTTTTCTTGTTCCTAGTTTTGGTATGTCTTTATCAGCAGCATGAAAACAAACTAATGCAGTAAATTGGTACCAGTAGAGTGGGTGTTGCTGAGAAGATAGCTGAAAATGTGGAAGTGACTTTGGAATTGGATAACAGGCAGAGGTTGGAACAGTTTAAAGGGCTCAGGAGAAGTCAGGAAAATGTAGAAAAGTTTGGGACTTTCTAGAGGCTTGTTGAATGGCTTTGTCCAAAATTCTGATAGCAATATGGACAATAAAATTCAGGTTGAGGCAGTCTCAGATGAAGATGAGGAATTTTTTGGGAACTGGAGCAAAGGTAACTCTTGTTATGTTTTAGCAAAGAGACTGGTGGCATTTTGCCCCCATTCTAGAAAATTGTGGAACTTTTAACTTGAGAGAGATGATTTAGGGTATCTGGTGGAAGAAATTTCTAAGCAGCAAAGCATTCAAAAAAGTGACGGATGCTGTTAAAAGCATTTTGTTTTAAAAGGGAAATAGAGCACAAAAGTTCAGAAAATTTGCAGCCTAACAGTGAAGTAGAAAAGAAAAATCTATTTTTTGAGAAGAAATTCAAACTGGCTGCAGAAATTTGCATAAGTAACAAAGAGTTGAATGTTAGTCCTCAAGAAAATGGGGAAAATGTCTCCAGGGCATGTCATAGGTCTTCATGGCAGCCCCTCCCATCGTAGACCCAGAATTTTAGGAGGAAAAATGGTTTTGCAGGCTGGGCCCAGAGTCCCCATGCTGTGTACAGCCTATGGATTTGGTGACCTGAGTCTCAGCCACTCCAGCTATGGAGGAAAGGGGCCAACACACAGCTTGGAAAAACTGCAGACACTAACTGCCAGACTATTAAAGCAGCTGGGAGGGAGGCTGTACCCTGCAAAACCACAGGGGCAGAGCTACCCAAGACCATGGGAACCCACCTCTTGCATCAGCGTGACCTGGATGCGAGACCTGAAGTCAAAGGAGATCATTTTAGAGCCTAAGTATTTGCCCCACTGGATGTCTGATTTGCATGGGCCCTCTAATCTGTTTGTTTTGGCCAATTTCTCCCATTTGGAATGGCTGTATTTACCTAATGACTGCACCTCCATTGTATCTAGGAAGTAACTGGTTTGTTTTCATTCTACAGGCTCATAGGCAGAAGAGACTTGCCATGTCTCTGATGAGACTTTGGACTGTGGACGTTTGAGTTAATGCTGAAATCAGTTAAGACTTTGGGGGACTGTTAGGGGCATGATTGGTTTTGAAATGTGAGGACATGAGATTTGGAGGGGCCAGGGACAGAATTATATGGTTGGGCTATGTCCCCACCCAAATCTCAACTTGAATTATATCTCCCAGAATTCCCATGTGTTGTGGGAGGGACATGGTGGCGGGGGTGGGGGTAATTGAATCATGGGGTCCTGTGCTAGTCTCATGATAGTGAATAAGTCTCTTGAGATTTGATGGGTTTATCAGGGGTTTCTGCTTTTGCTTCTTCCTCATTTTCTCCTGCTGCCACCATATAAGAAGTGCCTTTCGCCTCCTTCCATGATTCTAAGACCTCCCCAGCCATTTGGAAATGTAAGTCCAATTAAATCTATTTTGTTGCTATTCCCAGTTTCAGTTAGGCCTTTAAAAGCAGTATGAAAACAAAGTAATCCAGTTCTTCCCAAAGATGTCCACACATGAAATCCCAGCCCTTGTGTAATATTTAATGGAAGTAGGTTGGGCACGGTGGCTCACAGCTGTTATCACAGCACTTTGGGAGGCTGAGGCAGGTGGATAACAAGGTCAGGAGTTTGAGACTAGCCCGACCAACATGGTGAAACCCCGTCTCTACTATAAATAAAAAAAAAAAAAAAAAAAAAAAAAAGCCAGCTCTGGTGGCATGTGCCTATAATCCCAGCTACTTGGGAGGCTGCGGCAGGAGAATTGCTTGAACCCAGGAGGCGGAAGTTGCAGTGAGCCAAGATCACACCACTGCACTCCAGCCTGGGCAACAAAGTGAGACTCTGCCTCAAAAATAATAATAAAATATTTAATGGAAGTTATCTGCAAATTTGTGGACTAACGGGGTGACTAAACCAATAGACCCTGTAAGGAGGGTTGTCTAAGATACTGGCCAGAGCATATTGTGTCTCTAATTTTTCAAAACTCTGTTTGCCAAAAAGATTCTTCCCATCCAGCATGTAAAGTTCCAAGTGGTACTGTGGATAACTATACTAGGTATGGATATCCTTATCCTAAAGATACTCCCATTAGATATAGGGAAGGCAACCTAATAAGGCGTGGACTAAATCTAGCTGAAACCCTCATAAACTGCTACATAAAACCATCCCTTCAGGGGACAGGGCTTTACTTTCCCTATGGCTCCTGGCTACACTTAATCCTCCCCAGGCACCAGAGAGGAACATGCACTATGGTGGCAGTGGTCCCCAGTGTGTTATTTTTAAACCCTACTAACATGGTAGCATTGTCAGGTAACATCCCTAATTTGGCCTCTTTTCTGGAAAGTGCATTCTCTTGCACATTCCTGAACAGAAGATCACTTATTTCTATGCCATCATATGGAGATTTAACTAAAAGAAAAAACTAAAAAGGACATGCACGTGACAATGCTGTATTAGAAAAACCAGCAATAGGACATGCAATAACCAAAGGCCTATCTTGGTTTGGTGGTATTCCCCTTCTTAAGAAAATCAGTATTTAATCTTTCTATCACAATGCAACAAGGGTGGAAGGCAATGTAGCAACCGTAAAAGCACAACAACAATCCAGCAATTCGCTAGCCTCAGTCATGCAAAATAGACAAACTGTGTCCTCACAGCTGAAGTAGGGGGCGCCTGTGCCCTCTTAATAAAAACATGCTGTTTCTGGATCAACACTTACAGTCAGGTACAGAAAGATTTACAAGTGCTTAAAAACCAAATTAAAGTCATTAACAAATTAAGAGAAAATGCAAACTCTAGTCCCAGTTGGCTACAATCCCTTTTAATAAATTCCAGTCTTGGTTTTGGACCTGGTTAGTTCCCCTACTAAAATCTCTTTTCCCTCTATGCTTTATGTTAACATTTGGGGCTTGCACACACCATCCTATAACCCAAATTGTCTCTTCTCCCTAGAGGCTAGCAAGCACCAAATAGTAATCCAAATAAAAACACACATGGATGTGCCTTTCTTCCAGAATCCTCAAACCAACCCCAGGAGGAATCCTAGCTGCTCTTCCCTACACAATGCCACTTTGTAGCAGGAAGTAGCCAAAAAAAAAAAAAAAAGCATTGCCCAATCTCCCTAACAGCAGTTAGGGTCTCTACTCCAGAGGGGAGTCTTAGTCCTTGGAAAGTCCCCAGCCCATGGGTCAGTGCCTCATCCTTACATAAAATAAAAGCAGCCTGGGGTGTGGGGAAACCAAGCTGTAGGCATGAATAAGGGAACTAGCACAGGGTGCTGCGTCAAGAGACATGCCCCTGGCTACACAGATGGAAAAACCTCCATTTCAATAAAAAACTTGCACAAACCTCCAGCTCACTCAAATAAGGGAACAAGGCCTGGCATAAAAATGCCTTTGTCCTTTGTATAGACAGTGGGATCCCAGGAAAAAGCTTCTTCTCATTTTGTGGGCGTGGGCACAGTGGGCTGTGGTGGGTTTGGGTAGGCAATCTCCTTTCCGTTTTTGAACTGTAAGTTCGACCCCTATGAATCATCACTTCAGCCTCTTGTTGGTCCCAGGCCAAGCTTTCACTTCAGCTCTTAATGGGTCCTGGGCCAAACTAAGGAGCCTCTATGAATCATCAGCTCTTAATTGGCTCTGGGCCAAAGTTTCAGGCCAAGCTTGCTTGCTTGCTTTTTTTATTTTTTATTTATTTATTTATTTATTTTTTTGAGACAGTCTGGAGTGCAGTGGTGCGATCTTGGCTCACCACAATGTCCACCTCCCGGGTTCAAGCGATTCTCCTGCCTCAGCCTACTGAGCAGCTGGGAATACAGGTGGATGCCACCACACCCGGGTAGTTTTTTAATTTTAGTAGAGAAAGGGTTTCACCGTGTTAGCCAGGATGGTCTCGATCTCCTGACCTTGTGATCTGCCCACCTCAGCCTCCCAAAGTGCTAGGATTACAGGCATGAGCCACTGCACCTGGCCTTGGGCCAAGCTTTCTAATTGGTCCTGGGCCAAGCTAAGTCACATGTTCACAAAGACAGCCTGCAGACTAAGCACAATTCTTCCCCTTTCCAGTTCATAAAGAACCCAGAACGAGACTCATAGTGTCCACCCCATTTGGGACCCCCCTCTACTGGGAGACAGCTTCCTTCTTTTGCTTATTAAACTTTGTGTCTGTGCTCCTTAATCTTCTTAGAGGTAAAAAAAAAAAAAAAAACTCCAATTACTATCTCAAACAACAAAAACTATTACATCTTGGTGCACTGCTTAATAACTGGTCACAGCAGGAGCCAGGGAAAGGCAGTCTCCAAAACAGATAGAAAACACCTGAAGCTGATGATCAGCAGCTTCCTAATAAGATCAGGAGTTTGGTGAGTGGGCTCAAGCATGGCACCAAGAGGCACAACGGTGGGGTTTAACTGGTGTTTGACTTTCCTCTAGAAACACTCAACTGATAAGGGAAAAATGCCTCAAGTGAGCATGTGTACAACTTCAGTAAACAGTAGTAATGCAACATAGACAAACTCTCAATGTTCTTACAGCTGAAGTAGGGGGTGCACACAGCCTCTCCCAAGTTCTGGGGGGACACCACACAAGCAGACAGCCGGCTCCAAGGGAAGAATCAAGGGAGAAGAAACACAGAACCCCATAAAATCCCAAATCAAGGGTCAGACGGGACACTTATCTCTCAAGTTGCCTGCCTGGTCCTCTTCCAAGTGTACTTTACTTCCTTTCATTCTTGCTCTAAAGCTTTGTAATAAACTCTCTCTCTTTCTCTAAATCTGGCCTTGGTCTCTCCCTCTGCCTTAAAACTACTTCTGCCCCTCAGCCGAATTCTTTCCTCCAAGGAGGCAAGGATAAAGTTGCTGCAGACCCGTATAAATTTGCCACTGGTAACAGCCCTGTTGGTGTCCTGTCCTGACAAACTTGACAGGATCCACAGGCAGGGACCTCCCAATAAGAGAAGTGCACAGCTGAGCAGATGTGTCATTAACCACCTGCATCTTGTGCAGTCAGGATAAACACCTCCATGAAATATGGAAAAGTCAGAATGTTTACAGCTTTGCTCTTGCCTAACAGAGTGATAGCTCAGGCACTGACGTTGCCTGACTGCTCTCTACACTTTCCTCTTACCATTCCATTTGAGTTGCTAAACCGTGAAAGTTAGTCATTTTCTTCTTGTAAGATAATTGCTTAATTTACAAAAAAAAAAAAAAAAAAAGCATTACCTTTGTTGAAATTCAGACTCAAGTCTCTAAATACAGGATTTTCTTTCTTTAAAGCCCCTGGAAAATTGAGACCTAGAAAGAAAAAGTAGAATGAACTTCCAACTGCTTACTTCAAAGGAAAATCAGACTCTTACACAGTCCCAGGAGATGGATGTGAAACATTTGTACGACTCAGAATTGCCTACAGTGGGGTGGGGTGGGGGGAATGGGGGAAGCACTCAGGTAACAGCACAAAGAGGATGAATTTAATGCGGAGAAGACAGGAAGGAGAGAGGAGGGGAAAGCCATGAATATATTTTTAAAGTTAAAAATGGATGGTAAAAAAATGCAACCACTTAAAATATTGTTTTACTTCGGAGACAAAAAGAGATACAATAAAGATGGGGTGAGGGAAGAAAAGATGACGAAAGGAGAGGACCAGGCATGAGATGAGGAAGAGGAGAGAGCGGAGGAGGCTGTTTGCTTGCTGCGGAATGGCAGCGGCACTTCCCAGACTCGTTTTTCTCAAATGTAAAACTAACCAGCCTTATGCCACAGGTGTAAAGATAACACCACAGAGCTAAAAGGGCAGACCATAAACTTTCCATGAATGAGAGCTACTAACATTTAAATCTGAAAAACAATTTGGATACTTAGCCAAGTCTCCAACGAACAAAGTCACAGGGAAGCAGGAGAACACATTCATAACACACAGAAAAACCTTTTCTTTTGAGACAGGGTCTCTCATTCCATCTCCCAGGCTGGGGTGCAGAGGTGTAATCAAGGCTCATTACAACCTAAATGTCCTGGGTTCAAACGATCCTCCTGTCTCAGCCCCTCTGAGTAGCTGGGACCACAGGTGTGCACTGCCACGCCCAGCTGATTTTTGTATTTTTTGTATTGATCGGGTCTCACTATATTGCCCAGGCTGTGAGGAGGGTGAAAATCACCTGCTGACCATTGAACAGGCCCCAGGGACAAAACTTCTTATCTGAGCAATTTAGAAGGGAGCAAAGGTCACCTGGTGACAATCAAACAGTTCATCCGGAGGCAAAACTCCTTATCTGGGGAATCTGGAGTAATCAAACTTCCCTAGTATCTAAAGACAGCATCTGATTCCAATAACAAAAGCTAAAAAGAAATCATCTAGGCAGTTAGTGAAGGTAAGAGTCCTCAATAAGGCTTCCCTTTGAACAAAAAGCAGCCCCAAATTATTTCTCTTCTAACAAAGAGCAGCCTGTAAAATCCAGTTGCAGACATAGCTAAGCCAGCTGGAAGCCTGCATAGGTAAATGCCGGCAGCTGTGCCAATAGAAAAGGGATACCTGGAAGCCAGGTATATTCAACATGGAGGTTCCCCTTCCCTTTTCTTTGTCGCCACATGTGCAGTAAAAAAGCAGGCACTGTGGTGCCAGCCAGGTAGAGACACTATTTGCATAAACAGATTTGCATAAGAGGGTGAGTTGGCCAGCTTCTTCTGGTGCTGTGTAAATGGCATACCTGGTCCAACCAATCCTCTGTGCCCAGTGTAGATCAGACACCACCTCCTCAAGCTCATCTATAAAATCAACTGCATCTTAATGCTGAGGGAGAAATTCTCTCAGAACCCACCTCCCTCTGCACAAGGGAACTTTTCTTTTTTGCCTGTTACACTTCCACTCTTAAACTTAATCCTTTTGTGTCCATGTCCTCAATTTCCTTGGAGTGAGGCAACAAACCTTGGGTATTACCCCAGACAAATGACACAGCTTCACTTCCAGGTTTCTTTCAACTTTTATAAGTAAATAGAATTTCTTTTTTTTTTTTTTTTTGAGATGAAGTCTTGCTCTGTCGCCCAGGCTGGAGTGCAATGACATGATCTCAGCTCACTGCAATCTCCACCTCCCGGGTTCAAGTGATTGCCCTGCCTCAGCCTCCCAAGTAGCTGGAATTACAGGCACCTGCCACCATGCTCAGCTAATTTTTTATATTTTTAGTAGAGACAGGGTGTCACCATGTTAGCCAGGATGGTCTCAATCTCCTGACCTTGTGATCCACTTGCCTCAGCTTCCTAAAGTGCTGTGATTACAGGCACGAGCCACCATGCCCAGCCACGTTTAGAAATAAAATTTCTAAACATCTCTGGAATGCCATGCTGAAACATTTTACAACCCTAAGCTCCAGGCTAAAGGTCCATAAATTCTCCTAAGGAAAATCTACCAATGTACACTGAGTCTTCTCTCTGAGGTGCCCACTGCACGCTTTTGCAGTATTCTTCCTTTCTAATAAACTTTCCTTTTTTTTTTTTTTTTTTTTGAGACGGAGTCTCACTCTGTCACCCAGGCTGCAGTTAAGTGGCGTGATCTTGGCTCACTGCCACCTCCACCTCCTGGGTTCAAGGATTCTCCTGCCTCAGCCTCCCAAGTAGCTGGGATTATAGGTGCCCACCCCCATGCCCAGCTAATTTTTGTATTTTAGTAGAGAAGGGATTTCACCATGTTGGCCAGGCTGGTCTTGAAATCCTGATCTCAGGTGATCTTCCTGCCTCGGCCTCCCAAAGTGCTAGGATTACAGGTGTGAGCCGCCACACCCGATGGCCTATTCAGGATTATTGAGATAGGGGAAGAGAGACCCTAGGATGGAAATGGGCTTCATTCCAAATATACCAGACATATGTGAGGATTGAGGACCAAGGAGGGGGTTGGCAGATGCAAAAGTGCTGAGGAATAATTGAGTCTGGGGGCTTTGGGGGGCTCTGGCTGAAACAGCCTCACAGGATTCCTGCTGAAGGCAAGCCAGGAGGTCAGACGCCAAGAGCAGAATGCAGAATATTGATAAGATATTGAGGGTAGGCCGGGCGCGGTGGCTCAAGCCTGTAATCCCAGCACTGTGGGAGGCCGAGGCGGGTGGATCACGAGGTCAACAGATCGAGACCATCCTGGTCAACATGGTGAAACCCCGTCTCTACTAAAAATACAAAAAATTAGCTGGGCATGGTGGCGTGTGCCTGTAATCCCAGCGACTCAGGAGGCTGGGGCAGGAGAATTGCCTGAACCCGGGAGGCGGAGGTTGCGGTGAGCCGAGATTGCGCCATTGCACTCCAGCCTGGGTAACAAGAGCGAAACTCTGTCTCAAAAAAAAAAAAAAAAAGATATTGAGGGTGACCAGGCATTGGTGCCAGGGGATTCCCAATAAGCTGCCTTGGCACTGTTATTTGCTAAACCTGTTTTTACAAGAAAGTCCACACATGGGCCTCAGAGAAGCATCAGAAGCTGACTATAGTTTGGCCAAGAAAGGAGTCATTGTCAATCAACATTCAACACACCACGATGACAGAAGTGACAGAAGGCAGCCAAGGAGATGCCACTGCATGAGTTCTCATCTGTGAAGTGTACAGAACGGGCGGCCCATGGGACAGAAGGCATATTAGTGGTTGCCTGTGGCAACTACCAATGAGTACTCGGTCTCCTTTTGCAAGGATGAAAATGTCCTAAAATTGACTGGCGGTGGCTGCACATTGTGAATCAACAGTTGAAAGAGAAGCTGCAGCACATTACAATGTTAAAGGGTTGATTGAGGACTCAGCTGTTCATGAGCTGGGCAGTGCCAGACACCAGCAGTTGGGAAGACCCTGTTGACATCTGAGGGGAGATGCACTTGGTAGGGAGCGGGAGAAGGAGGACAGTGGAGAGGCCCTCCCGGAAGACAAGGGAGACAGGGGGCTCGGTGAGGGTGGGACAGCCCCTGTTGAAGGTCAGTCCGCAGCTTTGGTGGTAAAGCCTCACCTCTGCTTCAGTGTTTTCACTGGGCTTCCACTTACTGGCAGGATTATAGTGCCAAAGCTACCCCAGCAGAACAGCCTCCCAATTTAAATGTTTTTAAACAACACTAAAAGCCACTGAACTGTACAATTTAAGTGAATTGTATGACATGAGAATTATGTCTCAATAAAGCTTGAGTTTTTGTTGTTTATTCATTTATTTATTTTGAGATGGAGTCTCACTCTGTTGCCCAGGCTGGAGTGCAGTGGCACAATCTCAGTGTATTGCAACCTCTGCCTCCAGGGTTCAAACAATTGTTTTGCCTCAGCCTCCTGAGTAGCTGGAACTACAGGTGTGTGCCACCAGGCCTGGCTAATTTTTGTATTTTTAGTAGAGACAGGGTTTCGCCATGTTGGCCAGCTGGTCTCAAACTCCTGACCTCATGATCTGCCTGCCTCGGCCTCCCAAAGTGCTGGGATTACAGGCATGAGCCGCTGTGCCTGGCCTTGTTTACTTTTTAGAGACAAGATCTATGCTGCCCAGGCTGGCCTCAAACCCCCAAGGTCAAGCGGTCCTCCTGCCTCAGCCTCCTGAGTAGTTGGGACTACAGATGTGTGTTCCCATACCTAGATAAAGCTATTTTTAGGAAGTGCTTCTTCCTAAATATTTTTCTTTTTCTTCTTCTTTTTTAATTGAGACATTGTCTTGCTCTGTCTCCCAAGCTGGAGTGCAGTGATGTGATCTCTGCTCACTGCAACCTCTGCCTCCTGAGTTCAAGCCATTCTTCTGCCTCAGCCTCCCAAGTAGCTGGGATTACAGGCACGTGCCATCATGCCAGCTAATTTTTTTATTTCTAGTAGAGACTTTTGTATCTTTAGTAGAGACGGGTGGAGGCCAGGGCCGCTGCTCAACACCCTTCGAGTCCAGGATGCCTCACCAGCCTTAGGTTACCTGAGGTTAATGAGCCAGCTGTTATTACCTGCATGCTGGTCCCCAGGAGATCATCACAATCTCATGAGACTCTCATGTTAACCAGCCTTCACCCTTCCTCATGGTTCTACTGCATTTCTGTGTCTCTAGGTCATGTTTGGCTTTGCCTGTGTTTAACTTTACATAAACTGAATCATTTAATCCAGTCCTCTTGTCACTGCAGCTCTTCAGCTATTTCTAACCTTTTTAGCCAATTCGTCCTGTTTCTAATGTTAGTTATCCTGATTTTCATTTCTGGGAGTTTCACTTTTTGAAGGGAAACAGAGCATAAAAGTTCAGAAAATTTGCAGCCTATGAGATAGAAAAGAAAAACCCATCTTCTGTGGAGAAATTCAAGCCAGCTGCAGAAATTTGCAAACGTAAT